GAGAGAGAGAGAGAGAGAGAGAGAGAGAGAGAGAGAGAGAGAGAGAGAGAAAAGGTGGGGAGAAGAGAGCAGGGAGATGGGGTGGCATCCCAGAGAAAGAGAAGGGGATGCCAGCAGGGATGCCAAGTGGCTCGCTGATTTTAAGGGGGACAAAGAGAAGAAAAAAATAGTGATGGCTGTCAATTGATAAAAAAAAAAAAAAGTGGCAGCAGGCAGATAAAAACTGCAAGCATGTCAAAGTCCAAGAGCTGGCTTCCTGCCTTCCTTGGAGAAGGAATTATCACAGGAGATGTGACTCTGTCCTCCAGATATGGTTGAGGCTGTTGTAAGCTGGTTCTTCTGCTGTTTACTCAGGAACTCTGTCAAAGCAGATTCTCAAAAAACAATGTTGACAGAGAGAGATTTACATCTCTTTTCTGTCCATTCAGCTTTCTTCAGAAGTGCAAAACAGAACTCCTGCAGGGTACCTGTTAGTGAAAGTACTCATAGGATTGATCTTTAACCATTACTGGGGAAATTGTAGATTAGGTATTTTCCTGTTGTTTTTGCAAGGCCGCCCCTTTCAATAATGTCAACACTTAGAAAACCCCAGAAAGTTAGAGTAACAGGCTGAGTGGGGAACCGAGCAAGGCCTTTCTGTCTAGATCCCGTTCGGCCTCTCTGAGTGTGCATTCCTTCCTTTTGGGTGCAGGGCGAGGCCCTTTTTGGAATGGGGGTTTTACAGTAAAACAAAGTAGGTCAGATAATTACTGTATGGCCAGTTTTTACACAGAGTAATTTTAGGTTTTATGGCTACTTTCAGAAAAAGGGGTTCTGGCCTTTATGACCTGCCTTGAGGGAGAGGGATTCTGATTTCCATGGCTAGATTCAGGGAAGAATTGGAACAAGAGGCAGAAGGACAAGGCAAGGTCAGAGAATATTTGCTTTTGAGGCCTTCATTTTTGTGCAGTTTTCTGAACCCCATCAACATGAGATCACTTGACTATAGACTGAAAAACCTCCAGCACCAATCCTTAGCACCTCAAACAATGACACAAAGTGGTAATATGTTTTTTTACATGAGGATCAAGATTAAGCTGTTTTAAAAACAATAGAAATAGTCTCAAAACAATCTTCGATTTGGGTGTAAACTTGCATACATGCAATATTTCTAAAGAGTAAGACTGTTTTGAGATTTTCTTTGGATTTTGACAGTCATTGACTTTTTATCTTAAAATAAATTACTATACAAAAATTAACAGTTTCAGAATTTTTTTCCCTAGGCAAAAACTTTGTTATAGCAACATAACGTACACATAACGAGCTAGCACATCAAGAGTGGACAAGACCAAGGGAAAACTAAAGCTTCCAATTTAAGCTCTTATAACTACAACTTCTAGGACAGCTTTGAAGCTCTAACAGGACTGTAATAGCAGACGATACAAAGAGTGAGTTAGAAACTCATTTTATGGCCGGGCGCGGTGGCTCACGCCTGTAATCCTAGCACTCTGGGAGGCCCAGGCGGGCGGATTGTTTGAGCTCAGGAGTTCGAAACCAGCCTGAGCAAGAGCGAGACCCCGTCTCTACTAAAAATAGAAAGAAATTAATCAGACAACTAAAAATATATAGAAAAAATTAGCCGGGCATGGTGGCGCATGCCTGTAGTCCCAGCTACTCGGGAGGCTGATGCAGGAGGATCGCTTGAGCCCAGGAGTTTGAGGTTGCTGTGAGCTAGGCTGACGCCACGGCACTCTAGCCTGGGCAACACAGTGAGACTCTGTCTCAAAAAAAAAAAAAAAAAAGAAACTCATTTTATGTGTACCTTTCCACACACATTGAAATCAGTGGAAAAAACTGTTTCTGCAGTTAGGATTAAAAGACCAAAACCAAAATATTTTCATAAACCTTTGACTATAAGTTGCTGTTTTTGTGTTCTATTTACTTGGTATTTTATTTATTCTAATTTGTGACACTTATTTTTTTTTTAAGCACACCTACATTTTTACCTAATTAAGAAACTTAAACACACAGGTATTTTTGTTGATAACTCAGGAGATTGAGCTATTATCATTAGACCAACAATATTAAATTTACCTTACTTATCAAAAATCATACAAACACAGATCATTTTGTCTTTGGCTGGGCTTATAGTCTTACGATCTTTGTGTCAAACCCTGACACCTTAAGAACATTAAAATATCCAGTAAAACCTAGCTTAAAAAAAAGTATGCTGACAATTTGAAAACATTTTTACTATTACTTTACCAATAATACTTTTTAAAAAAATAACTCAATTTATTTACCAAAGAATACTAAATTTGCAAGAACTAAAAAACCATATGGGTTTGTTTAACTAATTTATGAGCACTCCTTTATTTATAAGCCAGTCTGGAACCATGTAGGCACAAACACATAATACATGTACATACACAAAACATATCTAAACACATATACTCATATACATGCACACAAAGTTCCAATAGATTTTACTCTAGAACTCTAACTATGAGATAGTAACACAACTCACCAGTTTGTAAAAGACAACTGGATCCAAATTTCTTCTGACAAAACTGAAACTTGTTCACATGGCAAAATTTTACTTGCCCTGATAGGCAACCCAATTATGCTTGTGGATCAAAGTTTTGGATAAAGCCATTTCCCTGGCAGTTTGATAATAAAAACCCCCTTTATCCTTTTTTTTCTTCAGTCTAAAAATTAGTTTTCAATGTTTACATTTTAGCCAGAACTGACTGCAAGATCTCCAGGTAGCCTTTCAATTGCATTTATACCATAAACAACGAGTTAACTCAACATCAATAGAAAAAGTTAGCAGGTTTTGGAGTAGCCAGAAAAGAAAGAGACAGCTTGAAAGACTGGACATTTTAAGTCTATAGTGGTAGGTTGACCATTTGAGCTCTGAATTTTCCGTGATATAATCTGCCCTTTAGTAAAAACTTGTGCAAAAGAATTGGCTATAACCAGCTGGAGCCCTAGCAAACCCAGCATGCCTTTGCTAGGGCTAGTGGTCACCTCCAGTATTACCTTGTCTGTCTCTAACCACTTGACTCTGGGCAGTTCAGGAGGGGCCTGGACGGGATAGCTGGGAAATAAGACCCCTGGGATGTGACATCATTCAGAAAGGTTTTTCGTGTTTGCCTGAGATGTCCTTTTTGTGACCCAGATGGGTTACATATCCCAAAATCGTAGTGGCCCTGCTCTAAGGCCTAGGACTAGGGCGTGTAAGCTGTATTCATCCACTTGTCCCTATGTTGCCCTGGGCCCCAGGTTGCTCTTTTTGGATAATCCTGGCTCTATTGGCAAACTTGGTGACAACCTCTATTAGCATATTTCTACGGAAGGCATGGGACAGAACAGGGCTCTGGTTAAATCCATGGTAAAGCTAGCTGAGTGTTACCACAGTTCCAAGACAAGCTCTTTATGCCGTCTTTGTCTCTGGCTGAAGTATGTATGTCACAGGCAGAGGTAGAGTGGGTGTATCAGGGCATCCTGCTGCATCCCTGGGACTGACATCATCTGTGTAGACCACTTTTGATATTTGGATGGGCTGCAGCAGACCATAAGGGTGGAAGCAGCACAGATAGGCATAGCAGCAATGGGATGTTTTCCCCAGAGTTGCTGGGTGGAGTCCCACCTGCTTGCCTGTAGCTCTGCCTGGCACAGCTGGAGGTGGCACTCAGCTAGCTCATTGTCCCTGCTGGGGAGTTTTAGTCCCCCCACCTGAAGAATCACAGTGTTTCAGGGGCATACTTCAAAAGGCATGGCCACTGCTCCCTGTGTTATTCCAGCTTGAAGGCAGGGAGTCTGCCTGGTATGGAATTAACTTCCATAAATAAAGAGTCTCAAGGCTGGTAGTTTGTAGTGTGTTCTTCTTGTCTCAGGGTAGCCCCTACCAGCTATTGGAAGGAGGCTGATGATATTGGGAAAGTTGAGTTCAGGGTGAGCCAGGATTGAGGTGATGGTGAACTAGGTTTTCATTTTCTGGAATGCTGGGCTGATGGTCTCAATAACCTGACTTAGCGTTTGGCTTTGGCCTACTAGACCCTGGAAGCAGTGCCTTGTACCTTGGGGTGGGGATGGTCATGGGAGGGTGTGCAAGTGTAGGATCAGCTAGCAGCCTGTCCTTTCTTCCCCATAGTACCCAGTTTGGGGAGTGCGGGTGTGAAGTGAGGCCAGGGAAGACCCCCGCAAAGAGCTCACTGCCTGGAGCAGCAGAATTCAGGGCTGGCAAAAGCGTCGGAAGCCCAGGCTTCATCTATTACTCACAAAGGCCAGCTTTCTCAGCGAGAAGGGAGCAGTGGTGCCGGGGTCTTCTTGAGGAGTAGCCTGTGTGCTCCCTGGGATGGGGGCTGTGCCTGGCTCCTCTATGCCCTACCCTCAGGTAGATGAACCCTTCCAAGCCCAGGACAGGTGACAGCCAGTGTGCAGTGGGTGAGCAAGGGCTAATCCCAGATACTTGCTCCGTTAAGCATGCTGCTCGTTTTTCCTCAGCGCCTTGGCTGGTTATGAGAAGAATGTGGCCACCAAGGTTGGAGAGGCCTGGCAGGAGAGGCCGGGAGCCCCGAGAGGTGGCCACGGAGACCCAGCTGTACCCACGCAGCAACCTGCAGATCCCAGCACCCCAGAGCGACAGGGCAGCCCCAGCGGACCCGAGCAGCTCATCGGACTGGAGAGCTGTGGCAGCAGGTAAGGGCCGAGCTGCACTGGGCTCCTGCCTGCTAGAGCTGGCGTTTTTGTCAGGCCATGACCAGGTGGGAACTGCTCCCCTCCTTGCCAATGCCTGGCACATTGCACACCCATGTGCTTGGGCTCCTGCCCCGCGGGTGGGTCATGGTGGGGATTCCCTGGGCCTGGAGCAGTGTGGACAGGCTTCCTGTGGCTCAAATTGCTGGGATGGGGCTGCGATAGGAGAAGATGTCTGTCCCCAGGTGTAAGAAGCCCTGGCCTCCTGTGTGGGGCAGGAGGGAAGGCTGTCTCCTAGAGTACAGGTGCTCTGCAGGTGAGGGCTGTTTGGGTGTGTAAAATAGCATTGTCAGAGAATGACAGAGGGCGTGAGAGAGCGAAAAAGAGAGAAAGATTGTGAAAGAGTGACAGGGTGAAGCAGAGAGAGGTCAGAGCAAGAGGAAAGGAGCATGTGTGAGGCAGGGATGTGGGATGTGACTGGCCGTGTGTCTGTGCGTGCCAGTGTGCCTGTGACTGGAGGCGACCGTGTGGTGTGAGTGAGAGGTTTTCAAGTCCAGGCTTTCCTAAAGGCATCTGGCCAACACTGCTTGTGCCACTCAGCTACGGACACATCAGCAGCTCAGTGATTTCCGGGAGTGCAAAGGAAAGTACTTAGCACTTCTGCAGAGCAAAGCCGACGACGGTTTCTTACACAAGACAGAAATGCCAGGAGAGAGCCAAGGCTGTCACCGCCCCAAGTCAGGAGACGGTGGAGTGCAGGCGGGAGTCTGCTGTGGGGAGCAGGTGGGGCCTGTGGCTCCTCTCGCAGGGACACAATAAAAGTGGTCATCCACCCTCTTGGTTATGGGGCTTCTTATAGCACAGACTCCATAATTAGCTAGGTAGGAGGTTAGTTTGAGGGCCAGGCTCAACCGTTAGATAACAGATTTACTTATTTAAGAATATCCAATCCATCTTTGACTCCTTGGCCGCAGGCCCTGTAGGGGCCCAGTCCAAAGACACTGGGTGAACAACCGTGGGCTTCCTGCCACATCACGTGGCTCCCTGCACTACTCTGTGTTCCATGCGGTGAAGGAGAATAAAAAGTGTGGCCCATAGATGAAGGAGGAGGCGATTGGTTCTGTTTTTTCATTTTGGCTTTTGTTTTGTTTTATTTTTGCAGGTGGGTGGTGTCAGGAAAGGCTTTCTTTACCGGTAGGGTGAGGCTGGAGCTGGATTTGGAAGGCTGAGGAAGGTTTTGCCAGACAGACGTGCTGGAGAAGGCATTGCAGGTAGAGGAAACCGGAGGCTCGCAGACGCATAGATGCATGGGGAATGTGGAGTCAGGGTGGCCGCAGTGAAGGGGGTTAATTGGTGGCTTGGCAGGAAGCACCAAGAGAGTACTGAGCAGGCACCTGCTCCTGGGCTGAGGAGTGTGGCCCACATCCTTAGGGTCTGAGGGGCCACTGGTGGTTCCCATGCAGGAGAGTGCCACAGCCAGACTTGAGTCGTAGGAAGATGGCTCCACTGGCCTATGGAGGATCAGACCAGGGCAGTGTCCAACTAGACACGGCAGGAGACCATCAGGAGACTGTTTGCTGAGGCCAAGGCACAGGTGATGAGGCCACAAGTATTTCTGACTTATTAAAGGTAATGGTGAGGGAAAAGTGGCAGCCAAGGCTGCCCCCGAGATTTCATAGCTGGGCGACTGGATGATGATAAGAACTAGCTGAGAGTGAGGAGGTAGGGGGTTGCTATGCAGAGAGATGGTAAGGTCATTGGGTCATGCCTGTGGAGGATCCAGGAGTTGAGTGACGAGCCAACCCGGGGCTAGAGAGCTGGGAGTTGTTAGCTCATGGATAGTAACTGAAGGGAGTGGATGACGTTGCCTGGAGAATATCTTTGGAAGCCAGTGTGTCCAAAGCATGCATTCTCTGCTTCTCTCTGCAAGCTCCTGGGGCAGTCGTCCAGCAGGCCTTGGCTGGTGGGTAAGTTATGTGATTGAGGGATGCAGAAGAAGCCTTCCTTTGGGGCTGTACCTCTAAAGCCACCTGCTTCATCAGCTGACATTTATCTCCATTTTCTGCTCTAATTTTGTCTCAAAAAGAATAAAAAAGAGGGGAGTATTAATTATTGGTCCTCTAAAGCCCTAACTGAGTATATAAAATGAAAAGACGTAAAAATAAGAGAGGAGCAAAGGCAGATGGGCCAGAAATCTGAAAAATAATATTGAAGGGTCTTGAGGAGGAAGAAGAGCTGCAGAGAGGTACTGAGAAGGGAAATTTTGGATAAATGGAAGAATCAGGAAAATGTGCAGTCGTGGAAACCCAGCCAGGCTGAGCTAACTTTCCAGCGTGCTGTGGACCCTGAAATAGGCCCGTGAGATCTGGCAAAGTAGAACTTGTGACAGCCTTGAGGGAAGCAGGTTGGGAGGGTGGGTAAAGGGGATAGTTGTATTATGGCGGATTGAGGAGGGAGTGGGAGATGAGGAGGCACAGTTGATGGTGCACAGCTCTCTAAAATTGGCTATGAATGACGGATGTGGGAGGGGTGAGCTGCAGGATGATGGGGAAGGTTTTCTATAGGTGAAAGCAATGTGTGCATGTTAGGTACATGCTAGGGAGAGCATGCCTACATGACAAGTCCCTGATGAAATCCTTGGGCTCTCAGTCTCTCATGAGCTACCCTGGTCGACAGCATTTCACACACGTTGTCACAACTCACTGCTGGGAGAATTAAGTGCATCCTGTGTGGCCCACTGGGAAAGGACTCCAGAAGCTTGTGCATGACTTCCTTTGTCTCTTGTGCTTTTCCTTTCGCTGATTGTGCTTTGTATCCTTTCACTGTAATACACCATAGCCATGAGCACGACTATGTGCTGTGCCCTGTGAGTTCTCCTCGTGAATCTCAAAACCCAGTGGTGGTCTTCGGGACCTCTGGCACAGAGGGGCAGGATTAGATCTTTATACCATAATAAGGACTTTAGACTTTCTCTTGAGGACAAAGAGGAGCCAGGACGGTTTGAACCAGGGGAGTGGTATGGCAAGAGCCGTGCTTTGGAGTGGGCTCTCCGGTGGCAGTGAGAAGAGTGGACTTCAAGTGGGCAGAGTGGAGGCGAGCTAGGAAGTGGTTGTAGTCCCCCACGTAAGAAACGGAGGAGATGGAGCCAGAGAGAACTGTAAAATAAGTAGAATGGACCCAGAATTAGGGGACACCTAAGACTTGGGGGAGCAGTGAGGGATAGGGAAGTATCAATTCAGAAAGCCACATTTTGGGTAAAGTGACTGGGTGGAGTGTGTGACCCCTCCTGGCCCAGGTGGTGAGCAAAGTATCTCCAACCTGCTGCTATGCCACCTGGAGCCAAATGAGCAAGTGCCCAGTCTGTGGAGATACTGAGCTGACGAGGGTGCCTGAGGCAAGGCTCCGGCTCTCAGGTAGAGGCTCTGCCCAGGCTGGGCTGGGTGGATTGTGTGGCACCCTGTGCTGTGTTTCTGAGGTGGGCAGCAGCACTCGGTGAGGGCCCTTCCTCTCTTCCTCCTAGTGGTCCAAATCCTGAGATGTGAGATGTGACTGTGGACAAGTCCCTTTTCCAGGTCTGCTGGGTTCCCTATTTCCGGTCTTTGGGTCTGGTAGCATGGTGTCTCAGTAGACTAGGTTCATCAGGAAGGGTAAACTATGCTGGGCACCTGATGGGCAGCATTTGGAGTCTGTGGGCTGGAATTAAGGCCCACTTACTGTTAATAGTCCCAAGTAGCCAGCCGTCCCTCAGCACCAGTCTGGGCATGCCCCCAGAAGAAAGCCACAGGGTGAGTCTTCCTAGTGGATGAGGCTCAACTAGCTTGGGATTCCAGGAAGGGAAGAGACAGGCAGAGTGGGCACCTGCAGAGATGGAGACAATGATAACAGCAGAATTGTGAGGGAGAGTGGATGGAGGATAGGAAAAATCCTTGTCAGCATTACAGAATGTCTGAACTGACCAGGTTAGGATCTTTGAGAGCCCAGACAGAATAGGTGATTCTCATGGGTGGGCCGGTTATTATTTCCTATGGGGACAGTTGGTATGATCCAGCAGGAAAGGACCACAGGGCAATCAGTGCTAAGGGTAAAACCCTAAACTGTGGGAGATGGAGTTTTTCATCAGTTTAGCAAGCTTTAACTTTAATAGTCCCTTAGTTCCATTATTTCAAATGACTGGGATGATAAAGACAATGTAATCTGGGGGATAAAGGAGGAACTCGTTGGATTTCTTGAATGACTTTACCAGTGAAATGGATTCCTCAGTAACTTCAAAGAACCAGTAGAATTCCCCATATGGGGAGTGTTTGTTCTAACAAAAGTTTAGCAGCAGTGGTGGCAATAACCCTTTTCTATAAGGGAAAGCTTCAAGCCAGTGAAAGAACATACATATGGTAGTATAACATAACAATGAGATGTGGGAGCTGAATAAAATCAAATTGGCAATGAAAAAAGGTCCTAAACATCTGCATATTAACAAAATTCCATAGATAAACGATGTGAATTTCCAATTGAAAACCACAGGCTTAGAATACACTGGATATGAATTAAAGAAGTAAAATTGTGACCAAGTTAACATTTTAAAAAATAATTGAAATTATGACTGATAATATTGTATTGTTGTTGTCTAATATAAGTCAAAGCAGCTCTGGGACTCTGATAAATAGGAACATATCATGGGCATTGAGGGTGCTGAAAAATCTCTAGGAATCTTAAATAATTTCTGAAATATTTATGTTAATAGCATTTTACCCATTAAAATTAATTTAGGGGAGGCTTAGTATTTTTTTGGATTTGACAATGCTTCCAATGCAATTTATACAATAGTAAATAAAACTATTTTTCGCACTTCTCTTGTTATAAGGTGAAAGAATAAATCGTTTGGGATTTTCCAGGGAACTTCTGGGAAATCCCAAAGTCAGTTTTAGGTGTAAAATACATTTAAGATTTGATTTTGGGAAGGTAAAATGTTAAAAGTTGTCAGGAGGCCTTGAACATTTGATTAAATA